AAGTTGTGGTGGAGGGAGAAACGAATTCTAAATTACCTCAAAAAGCCGTTTTGAATCCACAAAATCGCGTTATAGTGAGTAGTCAGCCACCAGCCAGCCAGCCAGAGGCATTTATAAAGGCAAGAATCTGGTTGGTGCTAATGCTAGAGATATTGCCGAGTGTGTTGAAGAAGGGGGTCCCTAGAAACTTAAGCATAGTTCTGGTCAAACCTGGACATAGACACATCAGGTGTTCTGCTGTCCTTTCTTCGAGAGCTGGTAAACACGCATTCCAGGAGATATCAAAGAGTAGATTGTGTGTATGTTTAGCTCTGAAGAGGAGTGGATCTACAATTCTTGGAAAACCTGAGATTGATTTTATCTGTATTAAATCGTTTTGTACTGTATCAATTATCTGCTTTTATATTTAACTACATACGTAAATATTTAAAAAATATCAATCTTAACAATTTGTATAAGTAACTATCTATTATAAGAGCATATTTGTTGTGTTTGATGTATGGATGAGAAATGCACAGTTCCTTCTTGCCTTAACTTTGGTTACGATTAAGATTTGTAATAATTCATGTGTGCTATTATTCATAGAATTCAGTGACGAGCAATTTAATTCATAGTTTTATATTATTTACAATATCTATTCAATTTTGCAATTATATTTAGTTTTTTTTAAATTTATAATATAAAATTAATAAAACACTTAGAGATATCTATTTAATTTATACATTGTAATAATCTTCTTATATAACAATTTAAATATGTATACTACTTTACACTATCGTACTCTTATTGACGAACTGTTTTAAGCGTATAGCACTACCCCTTGTCTTAAATAAAACTGTACGCCTTTGTGGCTACAATTGCGTTCTCACACTCTTGCCATTTCCGCTCTTGCCGCAGCTTGCAGTATAGGAGTAGGCAGGCGATTCCATAACTAGCGGATGGCATATCTCATATACAGGAACTTTTAAACTAGATTTTCGGACCCCTAAGCTACTAGTTGAGCTTGAGCTGGGTCCAAACGAACGTCACCTGGGATCGTTGCTCATCTCTGAGTGGTGCATTTCGCTCTCGTCACCAAATGAATGAGTTGCTGCGCTCGGCGTTATGCTAGGTGTTCGTGCACGTATTCTTATAGCGGACATATCTGAACCACGTCGTGAGGTTTTCAATGATACGCTTTGTTTGGAGCAGAAACACCGACATATAATGCGTTTGAATGCAAAACGAAAATCCTTTGAAAATAGTGCATAGATCATAGGATTTACAGCTGAATTACAGTAGCCCAACCAAAAGAGTACTGAGAAAAGTAATGGATCTATACAATCCTGACAGAAGGGTCGTATAATATATATGGTGAAAAATGGTAACCAGCATAAAATGAAGAGGCCTACAATGATTGCTAGAGTTTTTGCTGCTTTCGTTTCCATGCGAAAACGTTTCACTTGCGCTTTGATATTACGTCGCCCCATTTTTTTGTTGGGTCGATTTTGTGACTGCTCCTGTGATTGATTGCCACAGTCGCTAGTGTTCGATTGCCGACGCGATATGTCAGTCATGCTTTTGCCCACTTGCAAGTAACAATTATTACTATGATGTTTACGAAAAAGTTGCGTTTCAGTGGTTTCACGCCCATTCGCTGTATTATAGTGTACAGCGAATAACACATTGCCCGTATTGGAAGGGCGATGTTCATGTGCCGCGGTTTCGTTAGCTAATTCATTGATATTCTCAGTCGATGGATACGACACGGAAATTTTTATTTTGTCATGATGATGAGTGCGACGCGTTGCATATTTCGAGAGACGTTCCGGTGACGGTGTACCCAATGTGGTTGTGGTGCTTTGCGTGCTGCCATTGCTATGTGTAGAATCATGTTGATTAGAGCCACGACCACGGTGTATACGCAGTGTAAGACGCTGCTCTTCAAAACGCGAACCAATACCTTTGGAGCCTAAATGGAAGGGAAAACAAAGGTATGTAAATGAAAAATATAATCATTTATGTATGACGTATGAGCAAATAACGTATTGCTGTCATATAACAACTAACTTTAGTTCTTTTCAAATAAATCAATTGTATTTATCGGTATTGCTTACTTTAACTACTTTAAATGAATGTTAACATATTTTGAAAGGCATCTTTCCTAAAATTCTCTATTATATTATTTTGAGAAGGCACATACCACAGAATGCTATACAGGAGTTGCTTAAATACACACGAATTACAGTCATTTATGTTCGTTTAGCGATGAAGTTAAAAATAGACATTTTCATGAGGGGTTCACAAAACTTTTGGAAAAGTTTTAGACACGTACGTTTTTGTTTTTGTACGCATATATGTACGTACTTTTATTAAATAATTAATACATTTCAAGCCTATGTGGGGCAAAACTGCTTTTAAGAACATTGCGGCTACACTTGAAAACAAAATAATATGAATAGAGTGTATTAAATAGAATTAAATTACTGTTATTTATTGAAATTTATTTTATTTATTAAGAATTTAAAACTATCTTTCTTTATT